GTTAGAACCCATATTAAGGGACTTATAACCCCACTTATAACTATCCAGGAACCTCCAAGTAAGTAGTTGGTTTCAGAGAGTTGTAAGTGCCACATAACCTCGATTAGGAGCCATTTTGGGGCAGGTATATCATCGTAGACTCTAGATTCGAGTATATTATGGCACATTATCCTAGATGATGGTGTAGTGTGGTGCACAAACTTCGGTTGTTGTAATATATTATATAGTAGATTAGGATGGTAGATTATATCTAGATTATAGTAGATTATATCTAGATTATAGTAGATTATATCTAGATTATAGTAGATTTATGGGTCGTGCTGGGCCCCGCGACTTCGGAGTGTTTCGGCTCCGGGGCGCCGGAAAATGTCGGCTTTGCTTGGGGGCCTTCTTTTTTGGTGTGTGAGCTCTGTCGGTTGCTTTAGGGATTCCAGGGTTTTGTGGGGCTGGTATAGGGTGTTTTAAAGGTTTTTGGACGGTTTCGAGGGTTTTATGGGGCTGTTCTACGATGTTTAGAGGTTTTTAGGGATTCCAGGGCTCGTTTTCACGCAGCCCCCTGCATGAGGTGACCGTAGCTGCCACAGCTTTAGATGTCGCCGCCTGAATAAAATCCTGCGGTGCAAAGGACATTGCTGCCACAAGTTCTGAGACGCGGGTGACCGTAATATGGCGCAGCTTGTTCAAAAAGCTGAGTTTCGGGCCGTCAGCTCTGAACCCTGTGACCCTAAACAGTTCTCCGGACTGCAGTTGGGTGACTCCTTTGCTAAAACCTACGCCCGAAACTGCCCGAAAGGCAGATAGCAAGGCGAATAATTAGAGGGTTCTACGGTAGCCATTTATGTACAACTCGCATCAAAATCCCGTTCCAGTTGTTCAGACTCAGACTTCGAATTTCAGTCCGTGGTCCCGTGGTCCACTGCACTTTAACAGAGGTTGTTGAATCTGCAAGTCTGTGACAGCTGTGTGAAAGTCAGCCTATGCAGCTGGATTTCTGTGTTGGTTTCCCACTTTGTCTTCTTTCGGAGGACTGGCGCCCTGCTTCTTAACAAGCAAGCTCCTGCGGAAACATGGGTCCAGGTTCATCAGGTTTCATCTGTAAAAATTCTTCGAATGCCATCCACCCGCAAACCCTGGAGCCATGGCCACTGAAGCGGCTCGCGATCGCGATGACAATGACATGAACTATCTCACGGCGCTAGTTCGCGCCTCCCATGAGGGTCATGTAGAAGTGGTCCGCGTGCTCTTGGAGGGAGGGGCTGACACCGACTTCGCGAACGAGAGCGGCGAGACTGCCCTAATTCGTGCAGCTAACGCAGGTCATGCCGAGATCGTGCACTTGCTGCTGGAGGCACACGCTGGCTTGGACCTGGCTGATGCTATGGGCCGTACAGCTCTAATCTGTGCATCTCACGGAGGCAACTCTGAAATTGTACGTCTCCTACTGGAGGCCAAAGCGGCCACGGATCCGACGGACGAAAACGGCCGCTCGGCGCTCTTCCGGGCTGCCCGGCGTGGGCACCTGGACGTTGCACGCTTGCTTTTGCAATTTGGTGCAGACAAAGACTTGGCAGATCGCACAGGAGATACCGCTCTGATCCGTGCATCTTTTGGAGACCATGTGGAGCTGGTCCGCTTGCTCTTGGAGGCCCGAGCCGATACGGAGTTGGCAGACAAGGATGACGCAACGGCTCTGATCCGAGCTGCGGCCGAGGGGCATGCGGAGGTGGTGCGTCTGCTGCTTGATGCTGGGGCCGACAAGGAGGAGATGGACAGGGAAGGCCAAACGGCTTTGCTGCGTGCCGCTGTTGAAGGCCACTTAGAGGTCACCCAGCTGCTTGCAAAGTAAAGCAGCTCGTCTGATGCCTGCCCCAGCTGCCACGAAGAATTCAAAACAGAAGCTCTGCATCAAGCTGTTCTTCACTGAATGATATAGTTTAACCGATAAGTGCAGTATCTTCCTCGGAAGGTGTTTCGAGCTGCGGCAGCTGAACACCCTGGCTTCGCACAAAGCTCCTGGATCTAAAACTTGCTGAAGGCTACCTGACTGCTTCAACACGGAAATCTAGGCTTGAAAACAGGGTTTATAGGGGTTCAAGTCTGCAAGGGTTTTGCAGGGTTCTAGAACCCTCATTGCAAGGACGGTTCCTGGTACCCCTAGTTCTTGGTTTGAATGAAACCTTCAACTGGGACGTGGTTCCAAGCCCAGGTTTGGCAGGAACAGGCTTGAGAACCGAAAACCATGAAAACTTCTCCCAGACCCCATGCCCTCGTAAAAAGGTAAGCCCTTCGCTTCAATGTACGTAGATAAGTTTCAAGAAATGCTAGCATCCCCCGCGCACCGTCACTATCAAAGAACCTGCAAGCCTTGTCCACATCATCTACGCGCCTCTCGGCTCAGAGCACGCAGAGCGCCCATGCCCATGCCGAGCCCCTTTACCAAATATTCCTCTGCACATGGAGCCCTGTTCCTTCATGCACCCGAAACCGGCCTTAATCCTTACAAGTAAACCCCTGTAGACATAGCCTGAATATTCACTACGGGCCGTAAGTAGTAAATGGACAACTGAGCACGAAAATCCCCAAACCCTAACGCCTTAAACCCTGAACGGCGAAGACCCCATACCCTGACCGAGCAGAGCCCTGCAAACCCCAAAGCCCTGAACCCTAAAACCCTTAACCTTGATATAACCCGTGTAGGACCGTTGCGAAAGCCGTAAGCCGCTTAAACCCTAAAGCCTTTCATTCCCTACGAGCGCCATGGCAAAGACTGCGCCGACTGGCGGAGAGCCACCAGAAAACGATGAGGCCGAGAGTCCTACAGGGCAGTGAGGATTTATTGTTGTTTGCTTTGCATTGCAAGTACAGAAGGTTTCGTGACAGGGCTTTTGTTATGCAGATTAACATCATTCGTCGAAACCTCCCCTTGACAGAAAAGCTCTTGTGCGAAGGGCGCCTCAGGGCCTTACAAAAGAACACGAACAGAGCAAGCCTCAAGCTCAACCTTTGCGACGCACCGGTGCACCAGGCCCGTCAAGCAAAACCCACGATGAACATCTCCATCTGCTGGTCCTCGATACTCAACAACAAGACCCCAAAACCGAAAAACTGCACATCACCTGGAGCGGGCAAGTGCTGCTAAGGCGACGGCGACGGCTCCTACGCCTAAGGCGAAGGAGTCGAAAGTGAAAAAGACGCCGAAGGTGCCATCCTTACGAGGTTCGGGCTTTTTGTTTGGAGGTGTGGGGGGGCTGTAGGCTTCAGGAGTTTTGCGGTTCATGCAGATGTCCGAATAACCAGTATAGTCCTTACATAGCCATACTGAACTGTAGCCAAGTTACTAGGGTCGCTATGTTACTCGCAGACTTGCAGCTTCAGGGAGCTGGCATGAAGTCGCTCTTATGTACAGCCGGAATCACAACCTGCTTGAAATACACTTCTGTAGGGCTGCTTTAGGGCGTCTTTACACTTGAAGTGGAGCCCGCCCGGAACCCTGAATTTTTCTGTGGTTACACAGGCCTCGAGTAGCAATTCAAGCTGTCCTGAGCGCCGACGGTACATACCTGCCACTAGTCTCGTTGTCTGAGCAGGGCTTCAGGATTCGGGAGAGTACTAAGGTTGAGGGCCCTCTCCGCAGCATGTTTATGCCCCGGCACATGATTAACAAAACCCTTACCCTTGAGGGCCTTTCTTGCAGGAAGCCCTACATGCCTTCGTATTTTGACAACAAACCCTGAACCCCTGAGCCTCACCCTAAAGCTTTCAACCCCACAACCCTAAACCCTACTAGATCCCTTATAGGAACCCTTATAATATAAATCCCTAATCGAGCGCCTTATAGAACCCTTAAAAGCTCCCTTTGAGAACCCACAATCCTAAACCCTACTAGAGCCTTTATGGGAACCCTTTATAGATACCAGATAGAGCGCCTTATAGAACCCTTGAAAGCTTTGTTTGGGAGCCCGTCTGATCTAGGACATTTTCAGGTGGGTAGGTAGGAAGGTCTATATACCTTGTAGAAGCCTTCCAGAAGCTCTATATACCCTAAACTCTCCACCTGTAGTTTCCTTTAGATCCCTCATAGAACCCTTATACATCCCTTATCGATCCCTCTAGTGGCTCCCTTTATAGAACCCCTAAATTAGCTCCCTGTATAGAACCCCAAATGAGCTCCCTTTATAGAACCCCCAAAGTCCCCCTAAACCCTAAACCCTAAACCCTAAACCCTAAACCCTAAACCCTTTTTTTGGGACCCTGTCGGGCGAAGAAGCGCCGAGGCTCGGAGCGAGGCCGAGAGCCTCCAAGGCACCGTGCAGGCGCAGGGCAAGCAGCTGACGGCGCAGGTCCCAGGGGGTCCCAAGGGTTTAAAGGGGTTTAAAGGGGTTTATAGGGTTTATGGGGTTTATAGGGTTTAGGGTTGAAGTTCAGGGTTTAGGATCTATAGGGTTTAGGCTTAAGTTTTGTCCCGTCTGATTTATGGTTGTTTTCTCCCATGTAGGGCAGTGTAGGGTTGAGGGGCTGCAGGCTTCAGAGTGCTGGGGTTCAGGGTGCGTGGCTGGGAGATGCTGTAGGTTCCTGTGGAACTCCGCTGAAAGTTGCAATACTTCGAGCTCCGCGTGCAGCTTCATTTCAAGCACAGTTTCGGAATCAGAAAATGGCGGAATGCGAGTTAGCAATAGGCTCCTCATCAGGCCCAGACTAGTTTTCAGGAGTCCCATTGAACGGAGGCCGGAGCCAGAATCTTGGAACGGATGGCCTCCACCATGCATTAAAGTCTCTAGAGACAAGCCGGACGATGCAGGAGTGCTGAAGTGGGTATCTACTGCATCCAAAAGCAACCTAAACCTCGACCAAGCCTACTGAGCATTTCGGCTTTCTTCGCACCTTTCCGCTTTCGTCAGCGTAAAGGCTGAGCAGCTGGAGGCCCAGAGCCAACAGCTCTCAGCACAGGCCGCTTGGGCCTTGTTGAGGATGCTAGCTGCTTAGGTTACAGGGCAGGCCAAGTTCCCCAAACCCAATGCAAGCCACCCTCCTACAAGCTGAAAGCAAAAGCGAATCGATGGTAACTTACAAGGCAGGTTGCTGAACTGAACGGTGCTGTGCCCCCATAAACCTTATGTTAAATCCTACAGAACCCTCAAGCTTTTCAAAACTCTGATAATGCCCGAGAAAGGACAACAGCCACACCTTCCACAAAGCCTTCATAGACTCCTATTACAACATATTATGATTTAAGGTATATTCCGCAATTTCGAAGTATTGGGCTCTCTGGGTCCCTCAGAAGAAGCTGCGGCCGAGCTTCGGGGCTCTGCGTTTCTTCAGAAAGCACCCCAGTAATTTCCATAGGTAGCTGGGTTTTTGAGACCTGAAGACCACAATTGACATGCCCCAAAGCCCTACATTCGAAGTAGCCTTGTTTTCCTCTATACATTTCTACCCGAACGAGTACAACATCGGGCCCAAAGCATTCCAAAGCCCTTGTTCTACTCAACTTTGTTCCCCTTTTTTCGTTCTACTCCAAAGACGAGCATGCACCCGTAAGCCATGTTCCAGTACAGGCCGAGTTTTTGTCCCGACAAGATCTCCGCATTCAGCAGCTGGAGCAGCGCTTGGAGCGATTACTGGAGCAAGGTCGCTGGAGGGCACATCGGGGGCGCTAAGGGTTAAGGGGGACTGGGGACTCTTTAGGGTGTGCGGTTTAGGGCTCAGAGGTTTCGGGCTTGGGGCTTAGCTTAGGATGAACTACGCTCGTTTGTCTGGAACCTTTGCGGCCTGTTGCGCCAGGTGCTCGTACCGCCGTCGCGGAGGTCATGGAAGATGTTCAGGCGAATGACGTGGTTGAGGTGAAGCTTGTTGCCGCACCGCAGGCCGATGAGGAGGACGAGGTACACGATGGTGTAGCTCTGTACGAGTTTGACCAGTCGATATGGGATGCTGCTCTCCTCCTCTTCTTCAACAATGCTACGACGCCGGTGGACAGGGTGGTCTTGATATTGGGCTTTCTCCTGAACTTGGCTTTGCAAATAGTCCTGCTGCTTACGGTCACGTTGATTCTGCTGGAGAACCCGTACACGCATCAGACCGTCAAAGAAATGCTGACGTGGCGGGTTGGAGCGCACACGAGCGCCAATTTCGATGACACTGCCGGCACGAGCCTCTCGAGGCGACTCTGCAACCAGGAGCTCTGGTCCTACGAGCAAGCAGAGTTCAAGCTGATGTATGACTATCTGTACCAGGCTGGAAGCTATGATCTATATAGGTCCTTCTGTTGGCTACAACTTTACTACGTCTGTGATGTAGCAAAAACCCAATAACAAGGATTGAAAAAAATCATGTTGCATTTTGGCCCCAACAGGGAACCAGTAATGCTGAGGACGATAGTATCGATATCAGTTTTTGACATCGGAAACATTCGCAAGGTATCGTCCCTTCTCCTAAACCCTACATGGTAGGCCCAAGACCCGAGTGATGAAACCTGAAACCTGCATCCCCGACTGTCACACTCTGCAGATCTGTCTGTTGGCCCAAGTCCGACTGGAGGAGCTTGACCAAGAAACCATGGTGAGAGCCAAAATAGTTCTTGTTCATAATGTTCCGACATCAGTCGGGGTAGTATGCATAAGCCCTAAACTGATAGTCCTTATAGTCCCTAAACCCTAAGCCCTAATAAGCGGCAGTGTACCTCAAAGCCCATTCGAATGACCAGGCCCCATCGGTGTATGAAAGCTTCTCCCCACATCTCCTGACTTTCGAACCCTCAGCCAGCAGGACCTTCGAACCGTATAAAATCCCAAAACGGACCTTTACGAAGCCCTGAACGCGCCATTTTTTTTCAGAGGTCGTTCCAGGTTATATCTTGAGCTCTCTGGCCATCATCATGTGGATCCTCACTGTGATGGTCGAGCTCCTTGAACCGCTTGCTTGCTAACGAGAGGAAAGCACCTAAAGCAACCTTTCCTCCTGTGGGTCCGAGTACAGATTCGACAAGGTTACCCCATGAGAAAGACAGGTTGTATTGTTATTACTCCTACGAAGCCCTATTATGATTATTGTTGGTATTACTATAATTGGTAGTAGTAGTAGTAGTAGGAGGAGGAGGAGGAGGAGGACTGGTAGCTGTAGTGGTACCGGTAGTGGTAGCGGTGGTGGTAGTAGTAGTAGTAGTAGTAGTAGTAGTAGCAGCAGTAGCAGTAGTAGTACTAGTAGTGGTCGCGTACTGCATGGCTTTAAATCGCGACTTTGTAGAACCTTGTCGTTGGTACATGCGTCTTCTTCGAACCGAGCAACCCTCTAACGAACACTGCATTGCTGTGAGAAGACTCTTGAAGGAAGGCAAGACATTCAGGCAGGCACCGAAGTCCTAGGAGATGGGACATCCGTACGGGCTCACCCAGTCAGAGAAGTTAAACCTTAGACTCGAATCCCTGTAGATTGCATCTTGAATGGATCTGGTCCAAAGGTTCCGGCGGTGTACAGAGCAGGCACTTGCAGTCATCCACCTCCCTGCAATCTCTCCCCGGGAGTCGGGGGCTGTCCACCACCGCGCCACTTGGCCTTCGAGGTTTTTTCCTTGGTGCTGTCTCATGGCCCATGGCCTTCAAAAATCAAACCATTCCTCCTGAAACCCCAAGACTTGCGGGACAAAATGCAGAAGACTTAAGCTGGCTTTCTGTTGAGATGAAGGCTGGGTTTAGGTTTGCAGCTTACGGCCTGGTACGCACATGGAGTTTTTGGGGTTCCGGGTTTAGTGTTTCATCTTAGCACCTGCCTCCTTTGTCCATTCCGCATGTACTTTGAACTCAATGGTTACCCCTTAATGAATCCCTGAACCCTAAAAACCCTATACCTTCGTCACAGCACAAGGATCCGCATCGGTTTTAGGACAAACACACCCAAACCCCATGCACGAGAAGCAGAGCCACCCTCCCCGCAGATGTTTCAGATAATCGCAAGGGTACTCCAGATCTACGGTAGAATTCGGGGAGCCATTGATACCCTGTGAACTTTGAAAAGGGATTCCGGATTCTGAAGGAAACGGGGCGACGCCTGAATAGACTAGGGAGAGATGTAGGCGTATGTAGTGCCGGGACTGCACTTCGTGTGGTCCCTGCTCGTGTCTTTGTTTAGAGCCGTACTAAGCGAGCGATCCAGTTCCAACCGCACCCCCAGCAAAGGACGGGAGGATAGCCATAAGAGGCATACAGCCCACGAAGCGATGTCTGGCGCTGGTCACACTTAGCCTCCCGCGCATCGCGGTGATGCTTTGGATGGCATTGTTCGGCTGCCAATACCTGGCAGCTTGTCCCCGGTGTGAGCAGGAGCCCAAAAGACCGCTGTAGACCCCAAGCCTGGACATTTACTGCTTTCGTGAGCCTTATTTGGCATGTTGACAGGTTGTTGACTGTGGGCCATCGGTGAGGGGTTCGGTGCACATTCAAAGCCAATAAAGCATTACTCGTACGTGGACAATGATGTCCTCGTCTGAGCGAGACAGAGAAGGAAACCCCCAAGAGCCTGTTCTACAAGCTTCCTTTCCGTCTCAGGCACAGACGGTCAGCCTTGAGAATATTGTGCTGAATGCTGTGGGCCTGGCCTTCATCATGGACGTGGATGAGCTAATCGAAGCTGGGCCGTGTCTAGGGTTCAGTCGCTGGGGTTCCTCATGGGCTGAAGATAGAAGTCGTTTCACCGGCCCTGAACGACCTGAGTTTGCTTTAGAAGGCGCTTCTCATCTACTTTGCAGCGTCGAATACACCCCGCATCTCCATTCAAAACAGCATGAACAAACCCGCCGCCTTATTACTAGTTGTTGCGACTCCTGCAATCACTTCTCAACAGCATCGCTACATCTTTGCATGTTTTCCGGAAACCAGTGCCTTGGGGGATTGAGCTCTTCTTCCTGGGCTCCTCTAGGTGGTTTCATCTTATGAGAAGGCGCAAGCTGAATTTCTCAATTATCTTATTATCCTCGACGAGTGGCAAGAGGTTGTAAAGCTCGGAATCCAAGACTTTAATCCAAAAAGCCAAACGCACGTTTTTTTTTTATGTGTTTGAGAGAGAGACAGAGAGAGAGGGATAGAGAAGAGACGTCCGCTAGAACTTCTACCGAGCCTGGAACTTAGGCGCACGTGCTCCTGACGGAACAGCTGCGATCTATGCTCCCTCGAATTGTACCGATGCGATGTGGAGAGAAGCTGGATGCATTATAGGGTTTAGGCATTCAGAGTTTAGGGTTTGGGGTTCGGGTTTAGGGATGTCAGGGATTTTCTTGACCGTCGCATGTGAATCAAGGAGATTCTCTGCACGATATGCAAGTTGCTTCAGGGCTCCTCGGTCTTAAGATGGATTCGGGAGCCTTTGGGAGAAACACACTCAGCCCGTGAGAGGACGGCTTTTCGATTGCTTCTACTATAGAAGAGTTTTCTCTTAGGGGTGTACAGCCTGAAGAACTAGCAGGTCCGCACTGAGAGCATCCCTGCAACATTGGCATCGCACGCCTGCTCTCACCTTTCTGGAGTCAGGAATTGTTTCCAGACTTTGAGGGTTTGTTGCAATGCAGATTCTGCACCTTTTTGTTTCTCGTGCATGTTGCCTTTTCAGGTCTTACGCGGACTTCTGCCCCAACGGAAACCCACTACGGCCTGTTGGCCCTCCCTGTCTGCCACCGAGGTCTTCCGGGAAGTCTGTATCCGTTTGCCCTCCTGTGAAAGACCTGACGCGCTACGTCGTCACCGCTGGCACCTTTGGCTGCACATTTAAACACCGATGGTGCAGGGCTTTCTGAAGCCGTGCCTGCAAGGATGCACTCAAAGCCATGGTATTCCAGACGGAGCACAACAAGTGTAAGCGGCTTTTGCTGATGCTCTTGGCTCAGGATCATGTCCAAAAACCCGTAAGCTCGATAAACCTGAAGGCTCCTTACTCTACGATGCCAAACGCCTTTCCCCAAACTCTAAACCTTCAATGCAGCTTTCCTGCAAGACCCCTGACCCGATTGACACCCAGTCATACATATCCTTATCCTTATTTGTTGAAACCCCTCAATGAGGTGACCCATAGCCCTGTGACTGTAAGGCCCCTAAATACGATACCCCCTTTGTCAGGCCGAGAGTTGCTCGGGCTCTCAGTTTGAGGCGCTCGTCTAACCTAAAACCGCACACTGGGCCATGCGATGGCTCTCCCGTGTGCTTGCTGCAAGCCTGGCGTCACTCCAGGCGGCTCAGGAAGGGGCCGTCTCTTGCATGATGCGTCAGTGCCTGGCGGGCACGAACAGTCCTATGCTGTACTTTTAAATTGCACAGCTGGGAGTATGGGGCAGAGTAATAGCATGCTTGTTCCTGATGTCGTGAATGTTCTGTTATTTGCAGTACAAGCAGCAGCTGCTGCAGCAGGAGTCTTTGCAGGACTATGCCCCAGTGTTGTTACTGGCTTTTGGAGCGCTTCATGGCGACTAAATGAAGCTGAGCTCAGGTGCCTCCCAGAAGACACATCCGTCGCCGGAGGCATCGGAGGACAGAGGCTATGCTACACCTTGGCAAGCGGGGGAAATGAGATGAAGGAAGCTTTTGCCAGATGCGTCGATCCACGCTTCCCGGCCTGCAGCCCCTGCCAAACCTCACCTCCTTGCGAAAGCTTCTGTGAGGCAGAGGTCTTTATTGAGCCTGGCTCACCCAGTTGGTAGTACCCTTTCACCCACTTTTTTATGCTTCGATTTGCTCCTATCTAAAGTTCATAAGATGTGAAAAGGGAAGGGAAAAGGGAAGGGCCTTCTTCCAAGGAGCAGCCTCTTGGCTCCATGTGCCACTTGGACAACGAATGCGGAGGCGATCCTTTGGCCGCTTGCCACTTCGGCATCTGCCGCCGCGTGCTTTGGGCAGGGCAGAAGTGCGAAAGTGATGAGAGCCTGGGCCAGGACGTTTGCATCTATGGCGGCGAGAGATGCGTCAACGGCCGCTGCGTGGGTTTCGGGACCAACGTGGCCTGTTGGGATGGCTATCAAGAAGGACGAGACCTGGATTGTCAGAAGGGCTGGTACTGCCTGAGAGCCGTCTGCGTACCACAGCTCCCACGCTCCCACAGCTGCCGCGGAGAGCATCCGCACGAGTGCCTGCAGGGGCACCTTTGTAATTTGGCAACTACTCCGAGTCTTTGCGTCATGGAGTACTCTTTGGAGCCCGGCGCTGCCAGCAGCGATGGCCGCCTCTGCAAATCCTCACATTTGGACACTCGAACCATGGAATGTGCAGAGATACCTCTCTACGACAGCAGCGGCGGCGAGTGCACGTCTGCGGCCAGCTGCGTGCGGGCGGATGGCACAACGGGCGAGTGCAAGTGCAAACGCTGGTGGGACGGCGTGAGTTTGCCAGGCTACTGTGAGCTCCTGGTTCCCGACCTGCAGAGGCCCTCCTTCGCGGAGTTCAGGCGCTATGCTTTGCAAGGCTGCCACCATGATTGGCCCGAGGCGCGCTGCGCTGCGGAGCTGGACAAGCTTGGTCTACTGGAGCTCGTGAACCGTGAGAGACAAGCAACAGCAGACCCGACCCGCAACGTTCCCGAGTGTGCCCAGGATATCATTCCTCTGGTGGTGGTGGTCTCTTCTTCGCCTTCTGCTCTTCCACTGCTCTGCCTGCTGCCTTCCTTGGCAAATCTTCTTGTCGCTTACAGCACCTGATCTTCGTTTTGCTGGGACTCCGGAGCCAGTGTTGAACCCGAGGGCCTGTGACGTTGTTGTTCGGGTCCTCCTTGAGCAGTTTTCAGGGGATGAAAGTGCAGAACGGTCATCGCAAATTGGAGCAGACAGCGGCAGTGAGCTTGACTGGGAGACCCCACGACGGAGCCAACCTGCACCGATATCCACGACGTCTGCATCAGTTTGCCGAGACGGACGAGAGCTCGACGGTGTTTGAAACCGCGCCGGGCATTGCGTTCGGCGCGGCTCGGGCGGGTGCCCAGCTCGTGGCATCCCCGGCTGGGCTCGGCTTCAGGAAAGCAGCGACCAAGCGAATCGAGCCGGTGCTTGGATTGGGATCCGAACTTCTCCGTAAATGGAATGGAGATGGATTCAGAGGGTCCATGTGGCGGCGGCGCGTCGTGCACGTTTGTGCGAGACGAACTCTGTTCAAGTCACATCATGGCCAGGACTCTCGATCTGCTCGCGCAAGGATATTTCGTATGCACACATTTGCAGTTTCTGTATATTCGTATGCATATATATATATATATATATGTATGTATGTATGTATGTATGTATGTATGTATGTATGTATGTATGTATGTATGTATGTAAAACATAAAGGTATGGGGAGAGGCAGGGCGAGAGAGAGAGAGAGAGAGAGCCTCCGTGTACGGGAAAAGCCCAAGGCTGATGGCGATCATTGCGACACTGCACAAGTCCTTTCGGGCGTCGGGCGATAATGCTCCAGGGTGTGCGTGCATTTGGTCATTAGTTGCTCTAGGATAGAGCATTCTGTTACCTCAGGGTTGCTAAGCTGGTCGGGTTTCGGATCTCCAGCATGGCAGACCCTTGGTGAAGTGTCGAGCAGCTGCATACATGGAAGCTTCGAAACGAACTCCTACTGCCAATGTCTCACGATTATTGAAAAGGCTTAGACACCCAAGCTTACTGTCGAAGTCCCGTGATCCTTGCACCAGCCCCTGTAAAGCCCGCCTAGAACCCCAAACCCGAAAACGCTCACACCCAAATCCAAGAATGCCTGACACCCTCAAAGCCCTGAACCCACAACCCTAACGACTCCAAAAACAAGTCTCTTCGCCTCGACGCCCCCCAACTACCTGTTCTTGATCCCTTAAAGCAGGAGCCTTGAAGTTCTAAACCCTAAACCCTACTAGAACCCTTATAGATCCCTAGTAGAGTCCTCCTGATAGAACCCTAAACCCTAAACCCCGATTACCCCTAAACCCCTAAGCCCTAAAGCCCCTCCAGGCTTGATCATCTTGGCGTTCAACATCTGGCTTGTCCCCTTTGACGCGAACGGCGAGGTGCTGCCATGGCCTTGTGCGGTGGCTTCCAGGAGAGTCTTCAGAACTTCAGGGGAACCCTTGGTGAGGGCTTTGAATTCTTTTCAAAGGGTCTGTAAGAGTTACTAGGGTCACCAAGGGATTTATCCAGGTTACTATACGGTTTAGGGTTCTAGGGCCTTGGTGTTTATAGGGTTTGTTTTTAAAGGCTCAAGGCTTTCTTGAGAGGATTGTTCATCAGCTTTTACAGAACGGGTTTTCTAGAGATTCCCTGTAGCACGTCATTTCGTGAGATATTGTGTGGCCTGTTGCTTCCAGAGTGGTGTTTTCAGGCAGAAGTCCTTTTGCTGTAGTCCAGGATGCTTAAACACGCCCCAAAATGTTAAGAGCCCTCGAAATCGTGGCTCTCGAGAGGACTTCAGCTTTGAAGGCGGTGTGGCGGAGAATGCCCCGATCATTCTTCAGCCGGCCTCCTTCGGGCAAGATGCCTGGGTCACGGACTGCGCCCTGAAAGCATTGCTTTCAGTCTGAGGGATCTATCAGGGTTCCTTTATGGGATCTATAAGGGTTCCTTTAAGGGATCTTTAAGGGATCATTATGCCTACAGTCTCCGTGTAAGATTTGGGTTTGAGCCCGAGCGCTAGTTGTCTAAGCATCCTCCAAGCCATTGCTTCGTTTGGGAGGCCCAGTGTCGGAGTTGTGGGAAAGCCTTGTTGAGGTGGAGGAACGACGACCAACGGCACGATCCAAGACGACTACTTACAGCGCTACTACGGGGTGCGATACAACGCCACTCGGCCTTCAACAGCATTCGGTGTTCAGAGCTAGAAACCCTAAGCCTTACATATGTGTTACAGTTTTAATGTTTCGAGATATTGGAGTAAGAGCATAGCACTGGATCGCACTTGAGAGAACTGTGCAAAGACAAGCATGCGGTGGGACATATATGAAACCGTACGTAACCTTCTAGGAAAGGTTGTAAGCGCAGCAATCCCCACAAGGGTACTTGGAGCAATACCCAATTTCCTTCAAGCAATGAGCCAGTTGTTGGATCATAGCCTCGCAAGAAAGGCCAGCGTGAAGAACAGAATCAAGAGCGCGACTGGGGATGATTATCAGAAGCTGCGCATGAAGAATGTGCTGCAATTTGCTTACGCAACCTGGTCGCAATTTGAAGGCCAAGACCGATCAACGTCACGACAAAACTGATGTCCCACTTCCCGGGAAATGACGCGGTTTGACTGGCGTGCATGCGACAGCTGCTTGGGCTTGGGTTGAGGGCTAAATGTGAAGGTTTAAAAAGGGAAGGCTAAATAGTTCACTCAGCCTTGGTGGACTGCGCATATCATCAACTCCAAGCGGGACCCCCGAACAATTCTTCGATTCAGAGGCTGAGAAGTCGGCCTTGTGTTGTGAGGAAGATGCATGTATCAATGGGAACACACAATGAGCATACCAAGAGGAATGACCACCTTACAGCTAATAACAAAGCATTGGTGGTGCTTCCGATTTGCATCAGTACAACCAGGATTGAATTTGGTACTTTGCCGAGTCTTTGGTAGCGGTTGAACTCGCTGAAGGCACAGCTACCTTCATTATAAGATGCCATGGAAGCGCGCTTTGAGTAGACGAAGGCCAAAAGGGTGTATTGATTCCCGTAGTCCCCGGGTTCCTACGTGAACTGAAGCGAAGGCTTAGCCCCCCAAAGCCTTCAGGCCTAAAGTACAACTTCCTCACATCCCGAAGACCGGAGGCCCAAAACCCTAAACCCTGAAAGCATCTGAAACTCAGAGAGACGCGCAGAAATTATGAAGCAAACTGTGACAGACCCAAACCAAATCAAGGCCAATTCTCCTGACTTCGGTGCATCGCACAACTGCGGGTCGGATTCGGTTCTCGGACCTCAAGACAAAGACTCGAAGGCACGAGCCTTCGCTGCTTTTTGGAGGGCACCTTGTTTTGGGACTGGGTTTTCTTTCGCTCCATGTCCATTTCGGTGCGGTGTCTTTGGCCGCTAAGATAGTGCAATTGAAAAGAGAGGTCGGCCAATGCAGTCTCTGTAAACGACACCTCAAGGCCCTCGGCCGCGTAGGCTCCAGGAAGCTTGAGCAGAAGGGCCCCGGGCTGCCATCCTTCAAGATCTGCAGGATTCCTATCACAAGTTCCCGAACGAAATGAGATGGGCTCCTCAATTCAGAACCGGGGGTCCGCTTAGATGCCTTTGTTTCCTAAATCTTTCTGCATGTTTCCTGATGTTGAACCTCAAATCGGGCTTGGCTTGGAGATCTTAGATGTCAGGCTTCTGTCTTTCGGCGCAGGTGGGAAGCTGAGCTGGAGGAATAACCGCAAGCCCCCAAGCCCTCCAGACCCCTGTAAATCCCAAACCCGTATATAAGCCTATAGGCTCTTAAACCTTCAATCCTAAGGAACTGCCCTGAACCCCAAATCCCAGCACGAAACCAACATGACAGCACCCTTGGGGGGGTGAATTCGAAGCTTCGAGCAGAAACAGTGACCCCTCAAGTCCCCCAACAAAGCTCGTGAGCCACTCGGGGTTGTAGGGATTTGGGGTCGAGGGCTTCAGGGTTTTAGGGTTTGGGGTTTCATGCTTAGGGTTTCAGGGAGTTTTAGGGTTCATGGGGCTGGATTGCGGTCTGTCTAGGCGCTTTGCTGCAACGAACGTTGCAGTGAACATTGCGGTTGCAGTTGTTTAGAGCCAACCCCAGATGAAGCATCCTACAACGTACTACTCCAATGCCAACATCTGAAGCATACTAGACAAATTGATGACGACCTCAATTCCGGGCAGCCGTATACCCACTTATACCATGCAAGGCCACAAAGCCCTAACCCCAAACCAAGCCACAAAACTATGACCCACCTAACAGCCCCTTACTTCCCTTTTACCCTAAACCCAAACTCCTAAAAGCCCTGTGAGTCCCGAGGAGCGTGTGTGAAGCTTCCACCGAGCCTTAGCGCAGCCTTACAAGCTGAGAACGTTGCCCGGCCTTAGTATAGGGGCCTTAATCAGAAATGTTTTTGTTGTTTCTGTTTTTTTTTTTGGGGGGGGGG